AAAAGCGAGGACATTATATACCGTAATGTCGATTCCCCTAACTCGATTCATATATACAATAAACAAGCAACCCAACAAAGTCAATATTAAAAGGATGGTCACATCATCCTATTTCAATGGCAATGAAATTATCACTCGGTGACAACATAGCTAACATAACATCACTTCTATTTTATGTTAATTACGGCACTCGCTCGCTCAGAGACGTCAAGGCGTCGGGCCCAATTTGTTGAAAAAAATCCATGATTAGTTGTTAACGTTTTGCAGTAACCTAGAGTATAGACTTTTACCGGTATGACTGACGTGATTTGATATAATCCGATATCCATGTGTGCACATTCTTACCGGTAAGCGTTGAACGTAATCCAAAATCTATCATGCACATCACATTTCTAACACAGCTGCCAGACACGACAACACCAACTTCCTGTCAGACTAGTTTGATTGACGTGCAACATCCTGGACTGCGTACTGGAGGTTTGATTTTTTAAAAGAATACTGTTGTGTGTTCTTCAAACAAAATAATTGTTCTACAGTATGGAGTATTAAATAACAATATTAAAATAAATTGTATAGCTCCGTCAATATTATATCTTTAAAAGTAGAACATAACCTCATTCTCTACACACCCACGTTGTTGTAACACATTTAACACAACACATGGATTTGAAATATAATAGAACTATTTTTTTCACATATTTATTTTGAATAATAGAACAACAGAATCTACTTTTGACCATCGCAGTACTTTTAGGACCACTTAACCACCAGAGTAACATTCAGACCACATGACCACCACGGTACCATTAAGACCACTTAACCACCAGAGTAACGTTCAGACCACTTGACCATCACGGTACCATTAGGACCACTAAACCACCAGAGTAACATTCAGACCACTTGACCACCAGAGTAACATTTAGACCACCTGACCATCACAGTACCATTAGAACCACTTAACCACTAGAGTAACATTCAGACCACTTGACCATCACAGTACCATAAGGACCACTTAACCACCAGAGTAACATTCAGACCACTTGACCACCACAGTACTATTAGGACAACTTGATCATTACAGTACCATTATGACCACTTAACCACCAGAGTAACATTCAGACCACTTGACCACCACAGTACCATTAGGACCACTTAACCATCACAGTACCATTCTGACAACCTACCAATTATA